TTTTGAGGCAGGGTCTCACTATGTATGTGAGACTGACCTGGAACTCACTATGTAGTCCAGGCTGTTCTCGAACTCACAGCGATCCTCCTGCCTCAGCCTCCCGTGTGCTGGGGTTACAGGCATGCACCACCACGCCTAGCAATATCTGAATGATTCTAACCTCTCACACTGGGAGGAAGATGTTTAGCTTATTCTAATATGTATGGGACTAGGAATTTAGCTCAGTGGTGATGTGCCTATCTCACAAGCTCAAGGTCAGGAGTTGATTCCCCAGTATCAAAAAAAAAAAAAAAATCTAATCTGTAACATTCACTACTGCTAGTACTCTCATTTCAAGAATTGTGAAAATAAACGAGGCATGGTAACACATACCTGTAATCCCAGCACTTTGGGAAGCTGAGGTAGGAGGATCAGAAGTTCAAGCCCAGCCTGGGCAACTTAGCAAGGCTCTGTCTCAAAATTTTTAAAAAGGGGCTGAATTTTTAGCTCAGAACTCCCTATGTCCAATCCCCAATACTAGAGTGGGGGAGAAGCTGGGCATGACAGCACACATCTGTAATCCTAGTACTCAAGAGGCTGAAACAGGAGGATCAAGGTATGAGTCTAGCCAGGGTTACAAGTTCAGAATAGCTTGGACTACAATGCAAGATCCTGTCCCATTAAAAAAAAAAAAAAAAAAATGACAGCGGTGCTAGCTTTTCTAAAATAACCCCAATGTCTGATATTCAAAAACCTTTAAAAAGAGCACAGTCCTGGGAATGAGACCCAAGACTGGTCCCTTTCTTGCTAATTCACAGGTGACTCTTAGTTTCCAAATTGCTAAACGAAAAAGTATAGATTTCTAAGAATATTCCCAGTTCCAACCGTCAACCACAGTCTCCGAACACTAAATGTATTTTTACAATCCAACATGATATGGTGTGACAGAAAAAAGCGACTGTTCTGGAAGCTGGCTAGGTGAGACAGTTTCTGAGTCTGTCACCTCCCCACCTGCTCTCTCCTGAGCTCTTTGCCAACACCCTGGGTAAATGAAGCTGGGCTCACACCCTGTCACCCATGGGCTGCACCCTGAAGGAAGCAGACACTTCTGTCTTATGGGAAGGGAGAGTCACTGGCTAGAAGGAGCTCAGGGGCTGTACAACCAAAGCTGCTGCTCCCTATGGGAATGTGTCCCAAGGATTAAAATTCAGCACAGGATGAGGGGAGTAGTATTGCAGCTAGTCAGGACCCTGGCTTCCCACACAGGATTCCCGACCAGCTGCTGCTGGTTTACAGGCCAGCCAGCTGCTTCCTGTCCCACCACATCCTGGGCTGCCTAACAGATAAGACTGTCTTATTTGAATGCAGAAGTTACTTCTCCCATAGTCTGCACAATCATTTCTGGGTCTGCAGATGTGGTTTAAGACTTCCAAGGAACTATTATTAATATAGGGCAGGATGATTCTTCCCACTGCCAGCACTGGAGAAAAGTTCCCCAAATCTTTGGGTGGCTGAATGGTTCTGATGTCAGCAGAATTTTTATTTAATTCCAACAGGACAAAAAAAAAAAAATCACATACCACACTTCAAAAGCCTGTTTGATGCTTGCTAAACTCTAAATTCCATATTATACAGCAGTTTTGTAATTAAAGCAAAACAGTTACCAAAGACACTGACACACAAAAAATGCAAATGTTCTTTCCTTACTCAACTAACAGATGGCTGTTTGCCTTATATATGAGACAAGGTCTTTGCAAAGTCCCTGTCAGAAAGCATTAAGCTAAAAAAAAAAAAAAGCATTAAGCTAGAAGAGGAAGAGGAATGTTCAGAGTTCCTCAGTCTTACAAGGAACAAGTTACCAAAATATGCCCTGAGGACTCCCATTGGCTAAATCACCTTGAAACCAAGAAAGAAGCCTAAAATGTCCACTCTCCTGACAGTGGCAATGACTTAACTCAATCCTTCTTTGCCTTTGCCCTGACTCTGGAAGGGACAGATTTACCAAGGAAAAGTGCATGCTGTGAATCACAGGAAGGACCCCTCCAAGGACTTCCGGATCACCTGCAGTGAGGTGGGGACGACTTGGAAGCTGCCAATGACCTTAATAAAGTACAAGCAGAATGACTTCTCACACCTGGTAACATCCTAGCAGAGCAGAAATACCGGGGCTCATAAATCGCCAGTCAGCACAAGCAAGCGTCTCTAGAACTGGTTTTGAGAAGACCTGAAAGAGGCGATAAAAACGCCCAGAGCTAACAGGAGACCAAACTCTTCTTCACAGAAAGAGACCAGCCCTGTGCTCTACGCTCCAAGGCAGAAGGTTTGGGCTTTAGAAAGATCGTTTCCTCTTTAACTGTTTGTTCCAAAGGTCAAGACAGCTCATAGATTAGTGCATTGCAGCCATCCTGCCACGACATGCGGGGGGCAAAAGACGCTTTCAGAGCCACCTGTCCATCTTATCTCTCCCTAACGCATGGCCAAGGTGTGAGATTTTTATCAAGGCCATTTTCCAGCTGAAAGGGCTCAGAGGTTACAGGGCTGGAGCTACCTGTCCGCCCTCTCCCAGCCTTTTCCCGATCAACCGCAGGGACTGTCCTACACTTCATTCATATGCTACTTTGGCTGCTGCTAGTAGAGGGTCTCGAGCTTCTCCCACACTTCTTCGTGCCACTAGAAACTTCTACTTCCTCATTACGTTGCTGTCACCCTTTGTCCTAAGGTGGCTCAAATGTGTCTTTCCACGACTAAAGGAATGTGATAGTCACATTTCGCCTCTCCCCTCGATACGAGAGAGTCTCCTCGGGGGTCCGACTGTACCCGCGCCAGTCCCATTCCCCAGCAATGACAGACGAGGGGCCACGACCCCTCAGCGCAGGGAGATCACACCCCTTTGAGGCTACAGCGCCCCGCCCCCGCTGCAGAGCCACCTGCCGCTCGTCCCGCCCCCCAGCAGCTAGGATAGGCCAGCCCTCAAAACACGCTCTCCTATTGGACAGAGGGCCCATCCCTCCTACGCCACGTCTCCGGGCTCTGGAGAAAGAGGCCGGGGCGGCGGCCCCTGGCCCCAAAGAGATCTGTGAGTTGGCGGTCCTACCTGGAAAGGGTTTACGTCCACTGGGTCCGCGAAGGGGTTGGCGTCAAAAGCCGACATGGTAGTCAAGGGTCGGGAGGCAAGCTCCGCGAGCACTGCTGCCTCCGGGCGCCTAGACCCAGCGGCGCTATGTGTAGATCCTCCACTTCCGGGAACGAGCAGCACTTCTGGCGCAGGCGCAGCGGCGTGCCAGGGGGCGTGATCCGTGACGTCACAGAGCCCGACCCTGCCCCACCCACTAGAAAGGGCAGTGGGCGTTGTGTTCTCTGCGGTTGTTGGAAGGTCGGGTGGTCGCGGAGGGATTGGGATGCAAAAGACGATCTGCTGCCAGCCAACTTTGTGATTGTAAACTCCCAAAAGTGGATCAAGAAACTTAACTCCTTCCTTTCCCCCCCAGAGGCCAAATTGGGACGTCTACACAGGCTAGTGATAAAACCTATCTTGCTGGGTGTGGTGGCTCACACCTGTAATCCCAGCATTCAGGAGGCTGAGGCAGGAGGATAGCTGCGAGTTCGAGACCAGCCTGAGCTACATAGTGAGTTCCAGGTCAGTCTCAACTACATAGTGAGATCCTGTCTCAAAACAAAAACAAAACAAAACAAAAACCCCTACTATCTCATAGGGTTGTCTCGAGAACTGAAGAAAAAACAAACTGTTCTTCCTCTACTTTCTCAGTCAGTTAACACAATATTTCTGCCCCCAGATGTATGTGGGTTTGTTTCCCTACACACCAAGCAATTTCTCCAGCAGATGCCAACTGGTGTCCTAATCCTCAAATTGAGGATTAACACTGGCCACCTGGAGAAAGGTAGTGTCCCAGAATGGTCCCAGGGATGGCCCCTCACACCACTTCAAATGCTAGTCCCAGCCCTGCTAGTTTTCTGCTGGTTTTCTTCCTCCTCTGCTTCTTTTTTCCTCCACCTCACCCACCCCCACCCCCATGAGACAAGGTCTCCAAAAATTGCCTAGGCTAGGTTTGAACTTGTGATCCTCCCACATCAGCCTCCCAGCATGCTGGGATGACAGATGTGTGCCACCATGCACTTAGCTGTGCTTGACTAAGAGGCTATAAATTAGTGTTCCCAAAGCCCTCTCCTTGGGTTCAACACATTTGCTGAAGTGGCTTATAAACTCAGTAAACATGTTTATCAGTTTATTATAAAAGATATTACAAAGGGTAAGGACAAGCAGCAGATGGGACAGATGCACAGGCCCCGGTGCATGAGAAGGTCGTGGAGCTTTCATGCCCTCTACAGAGCACCTCACCCTAGAGACCCTCATGTGTTCCCCTAATTTGCAGGTTCCTTTTTTTTTTTTTTTTTTTTTTTTTTTGCATTGGTTTTTAGAAACAGTTTCACTATATAGCCCAGGGTGGCCTCAAATCTGCAGTGATCCTTCTGCCTCAGCCTCCCAGAGTGCTGGGATTGCAGCTGTGCATTACCATGCCGTTATCAGTACATTTTTATTTTTTATGAAGGTTTCTTTATGTTCACGATTGATTATATCATTGATCTTGGGTGATCAACTTAGCCTTCAGCCCATCTTCCCTTCCTAGAGGTTGTAAGGTTGGAGTTGAAAGTTTGAACCTCTAATCACTTGTTAGTTCCCCTGGCAACCAGTCCCCAATCACAGACTTATACAGGAGTCCCCAGAGAAAAAGAGGAGAGCAGATCACCACCAATAAAATAGTGTGATCAGGCTGGGGATTTAGCCCAGTGGTTCTGCCGCCTGCCTCGAAAGCGCTAGGTCCCACCCAAGTTCTATCCCCAGTACAAAAAAAAAAATAAAAGAAAAATAGTGTGATCATTTCTATGAGACCTAGAGCACCAGTTAGGCATTGTGGTGCAGGCTTGTAATACCAGCACTCAGGAGACTGAGGCAGGAGGATACAAATTTGTAGGCCAGCCTAGGCTACAGAGTGGGACCTTGTCTCAAAAAGAAAGAAAGACAGACCAGCAAGAGCAAAGAGCAAAGAGTGGAAGATTCTAGGTTGTCCAAAAGTCCTAATTGTCCTTATAATATTTTTTCTTTTGGTACGTGGATCAAACTCAGGTCCTTGAGCTTACAAGACAGGCAGCAGAACCACTGAGTTAAATCCCCGGCCCTCTTATATAGTTTTGTGTTGTGTTGGAGGGAGCAAGGCTAGGGCTCTGAGTGCCCCAGTAATCTTTCTCTTTGCAGGAAGGCTCTGAGAAGTTGACAATGACTCTGGTTTCTGTGGTGGGAGGTACCATAGTGTGTGGGGGTGTCAAGAACCTCTGTGCCAAGGTGGACATTGTGGTACATACCTGTAATCCTAGCAATCTGGGAGGCAGAAGCAAGAGGATCACAAGTTTGAGTTGAGCCTGAGTGATTTAGCAAGACCCTATCTCAAAATAAAAATATTTTTAAAAGGGATGGGGATATAGCTCAGTGTGAAGGCCCTAGGTTTAAACCCTAGTAGCAAGTATGCATATGTGCGTGCACATATGCATGCACACACACACACACACACACACACACACACACACACACACACGCAGTATTCAAAAGCAGGAGAAATTTGAGCAGGCTTCTTCCATGCTTGTCTGTTTTCCATTCTATTATCCCTTGGTGTATGAGAAAGTTTCCTTGAAATGCAGGCAGGTTTATGAGTCAGAAGACACTGAGGAGGCTGTTGTCCATACCTGGGCAGATTATCACAGAGAAAGCCTTGCTCCCTTTTTTCCTTGGACATATGTGCAGGAGGCTGTGAGAATCAGTGGGAGAGGGGGATAGAGTTGAGACTCACCTTGTACTCCAGTTCCCTGGAACTTGGATTGCTGTGCTTCTGGGCCCTCCAGGTGGCTGTCCTCCTCCCAGGCTGCTGACAAAGGAGGTTGGGATGTCAGAGCCTTCTGCACAGAACAGTGCAAGGTTGCTCTATGGCCAGGCCTAGCCCAGCCTTGCCCAGGCAGGACTCCTGGTTCCCTCAACGTCCTGCAGGGCATTATTATTCCACTCTACTGAGGATGTCACCAAACTAAAGCCTCACAGGGCAAGAGCATGCCAGTGACGTTTGCCTCTATCATTAATGAGTCCCTTCTCATATCTCAGCAGTAACCCTCTCCCCATGGTAGCCTTCAGGTCTCTGCATACCGCCCCTGGGGTTCTTTGCTGGACAGCACATCCCCAGCTCCCCATGATGGGTGCTTTGCTGTAGCTGTTTCCCTTGCCCGGACCAGGCTTCCCTCCTCCTCCAAGACTGTGCTCTAATCTCGCCTTAATGGGACTTCCCCACCAGGCCTTCTAAATTCTGCAAACTGTGCCCACTCCCACCTGTCCACCAGACTATATGATTTACTTATTACACACATTTATCTGTCTTCTCTCCTTCTCCAGAATGGAAGCAATACAAAGGCAAAGTAGTGTCACCTTGTTCTCTTTGGATCCTACAGCACTGGCCCTCGGGGGCTTCACATTTAGCTCCATGCCCAGCCCCACTGTTGGAATTACAGGCATGTTCCACCACACCCAACTCCTGCAGCCCTTGCTGCACTCCTTCCTATTTAGCGCTTCTCAATAAACCTGTTCAGAAGCCCGGCCTAGTGGTGCACCCTTATAATCCAGGCACTCAGGATGCCGAGGCAGGAGATTCGCCGCGAATCAGAAGCCAGTCTGGGCTACATGAGTTCAAAACCAGCCTAAATTATATGGTAAGACCCTGTCTCAAATAAAACAATACAAAACAAAAACCAAAAACCTGTGCGAGAGAAGGGAGGGATGCTTACACCCAAGACGTGTCCTCCCTAAGCGCAGGTACAGAGGATCCAGTGCCAGACCGGCGTTGGGAGGAGGGCAGGACTACACTTCCCGTGAAGCCCGGCGCGCGGGGCCGCAGGTGCTGCCGGGAAGGGCGACGTGTTGGAAGCCGGGTCAGTTGGCAGGATGACTGGACTTCAAGGTGAGTGATCTGCCGGGGTCCCGAGTGTGGTAGTGGTAGTGTCCGGGGCACTAACGCCAGCCTGGCCTGCCAGGCAGAGCTCGGCCCTGCGGCTCCGGGGAGGATGGGTGGGCGGGGTAGAGGCGGGACCCTGCGATCGTGGTGTCTACCCTTGAAGAGGCGTCTGTTGGTCCTCCGGCTTCGCATGGGTCCGTTGAGACCGAGGGCAGTGAGCGAGCTCTTCCCACACCCAAGCATGCAGATGAGATCCCCATCGGTCCATCTCACAGTTGGGAACATCGAGGCGTTCGGAAAAGAGAAGTCTCGCCCCACTATCCGCAGACTGTTTTGCTTCTGTCCATTGTCGGATCCCTCTGCTCGCGCCAGTCTCCGGGGGCTCAAGGGCTGGATTTGAGCCGGGGACAGGAGCTGATCCTTGTGTGTCTCCCAGTGTTCCCACTTTCCTGTGTGGTTCAACAATATGCCTGGGGGAAGAGGGGCTCCAGCAGCGAAGTGGCGCGGCTGCTGGCCAGCAGTGACCCGCTAGCCCAGATCTCAGAGGACAAGCCATATGCAGAGGTGAGATGAGCTGGGCCACAGTCCACCTTATGTGGATTGACTGGGAAGAGTGGGGACAGCAAGGACCAGGACACCCCCTTGGCTCTTCTGATCGGTGTAGGTCCACTGACTGCATGGTGACACCAAAAGGAGAGGTCGTCATAAAAGTCTGGGATTTTCAGTGACCTCCTTTCCTCAACACCTTTCTCAGTACCTACTGAATTTTAATCCCGCCTGAAGGACTTTTGTTTTGTTTTGTGTTTTGAGTCAGGGTACTTACTTTGTACTGCAGGTTGGCCTTGAACTCACCATGTAGCCCAGGCTGGCCTCGAACTTGCAGCAATCCTCCTACCCCAGCCTTCCAAGTGCTGGGATTACAGGCTTGTACCGCCATGCCTGGCTTTCTTTGACTTTTTAAATTTATCTTTTTGCATCTTTATTAACCTGAAGCATAATTCCTCCTATTCAGTGGAGAAAATGTTATAGTCTAGGAATAGGGCCACCACTAAGGACCCTTCTTGGAAATCCATTTTTGTTATTTTCAATAAAAATTCACTTAACCTTAAAAAAAAAAAAGCCTAGAAATAAACATATCTGGGAGTGGAGTAAATTAATCTTAACCTCTCAGAGCTGTTTGAGAGTCATAGCTTTTCAGTGACCTTGAGCGTGCAGGTGTCATTCTACTCACTTGACAGTCAAGAAGAATGACTTGCTGGAGTCTCCTGAGACAATTAGAGGCAGAACTTGGACTGGGGCCTGGGTCTCCAGAGTCAGCTGTATCCCTCTGTGTCCCTAATGGTGTGAGCATTTGTACCCAGACTTGACTGCCCTGTGGGGGGCACAGCACATCTTGAGTCCTGTGACTGATGGTTCTGGTTCTTCCTCCTCTCCGCAGCTGTGGATGGGAGCACATCCCCGGGGGGATGCCAAGATCCTTGATGACCACATCTCACAGAAGACGCTGGGCCAGTGGATTGCTGAGAACCAGGACTGCTTGGGCTCAAAGGTCAAAGATGCCTTTAAGGGCAAGCTGCCCTTCCTCTTCAAAGTGCTCTCGGTGGAAACAGCCTTATCCATCCAGGCACACCCCAACAAGGTACAGGGTCTTAGTGGGATCTAGAGGGCAGGATGGAAGCAGGCTTGTTTCACAGCCCTCCCATGATTTTTACTGCTCTTTTACCCCGCCAATACCAGGCTCTAGCCCACAGCTAAATGCAGGTCGGAAGAGTCCCAATTTAGCTCTGCAAGGCCATATGCAGGTGACACAAGTAGTAGCCAAGTCTCATTGGGCCACTGATCAGCCTTTGCCAAAGTGGCTTCTCTGAGCTTGTTCCTAGGGACATATTTCTGGTCTCCCTTCCATCAGCACAGGTCTATTGTATCTATCATCTTCCTATCTATCCTTCTGGAGAGTTCAGCTTCCAAGGCAGGGCAAACACCCTATTTGTGGCCTCAGCTCCAGCCTCACAGAGTTCTCCTGTACCACCCCCTGACAGCCCAAGCAAGTATCTGTCCAAACCTCTTATTTTAAATAATCAGTGTCAGACCTAGTGAAGGGGTGAGTTTACTCAAAGTCACACAGCTGGTTAGTATTGGAACTTGTCAACCCTAGTCAGGGTTGCCGGATTTACTGGCCACACCTCTTAAAAGTCTGCCTAGCTCTCTCACATTTGGCCTGTTTCCCTGTCCTGGGTTGGCTGAACCCCAAGCTTCTGCATCATGCCTTGACTGGGTTCCTTGCCAGGGGTCTGAACCCACTGCTGGCTGGCAGCAGGGAGGATGGTGGGAAGGGAGTGGTGGGCCTGGTGTTCCCACTAAATGACAGCTGTACCCCACCATCCACAGGAACTAGCAGAGAAGCTGCACCTCCAGGCTCCACAGCACTACCCTGATGCCAACCACAAGCCAGAGATGGCCATTGCACTCACCTCCTTCCAGGGCTTGTGTGGCTTCCGGCCTGTGGAGGAGATCCTGACCTTTCTGAAGAGTAAGGTTGGACAGAACACAGAGAATATATGTACCAGGTCTGGGATGTATGGGCGACCTAGGCCAGGGCAGGCAGTGACAGAGGACAGAGGCTGAATGTCACAGGGCCTGAAGGGTTAGTTGTGCTCATGAAATAGTTTTTGGAGCCAGACTGATAAGACCAGGCTTAAGTAGGGTTGTTGAGGGCTGGTGGGGAGCAACTGGCCTGTACTGCAGGGTTTGCCTCCTTGCTTAGGGAGGGGTGGGAAGGCCTCCTCCTGTTCCTCACTACCATGCCTGATATGCCCCTGGCCTGGCTTCTTGCAGAGGTACCCGAGTTCCAACTTCTGATTGGGGATGATGCAGCCACACAGCTGAGGCAGAGTGGGAGCAGTGACCCCCAGACGGTGGCCTCAGCTATACGCAGCTGCTTCTCCCACCTTATGAAGAGCGAGAAGAAGGCAGTGGCAGAGCAGCTTAATGTGCTGGTGAAGCGCATCTCCCAACAAAGTGAGTGCAATGCCCTGGCCTGGGCTCCCCTTACACATAAGGCTGAGGACAGGGTTCTCAGCCTCTGCACAGATGGATCACTAAAAGTCGCCTGTTAGGCCATTTCTTTCACCATTTCTGGGTAGCAAGGCCCTGACAGGCAGTTTTCTCCAGATGGCTGGAGAGTCTGGCCTAGAAGATTCTTCCGATGCCTTCAGCTGACTTTTTCCCACTTTTTCCCTCTTATATTGGAGGAAGAGCAGGAAGGGGACAAAGGGCTCACTTCTCTGCTCTAGAAGACAGATGCTTAGTGCTGCCAGTCATCAGCCCTTCTTACATGCTCCCGTGCTCCCTTGTGCCTGACCTGCACTAGGAGTTCAGGAAGTGAGCACAGGTTTATGGATGTGGCTGCATCACACCCATAGAGGAGTTGATACAAGCATTAGGAACACAGGCAGACAAATTCCCAGCTGTGAGTCAGTGAGGCTGTTGAGAAGGCCGTAGCTCCTTAGTCTATAGCCCTGCACTCCTCCATGGGGCCCCAGAGCTTTCTCTGGTTTCATCTCTGCACATTTCCCCTGTTGTGCCACCTTCAAGCCCCAGGCATTATTTCTCATAGCCAGGCCCACCTTTTCAGGTTTGGTGGTGGTGGTTTTAAGCGTTTTCTTTGCCTGTGCAGTCTCACAGAAGAATCCACACTCTTGCCCCAGCTGTTGCAGCTGCTGTTCTGTATCCATTGTCCCCCTTTGCACCCCTCAGTCTGTTGTCCTGTGCCTGCTTGCTGTAACCAGGGTCTTCCCAGGCCAGGACCTGTTTCTGGCCTTCATATTCGCCCTGGTGCCCAGCAGATTAGCCAGTCATGAGTCTCTGTATGAATTGGGACTCACTTTAACCCTGGCCAGCTAGCTCCTTCCTTATGGTGTTACACACTTGGCTCCTATGCTCACCCCGCCCTGGGCTGCCCCTCCAAGCAGCCTGCCGCCCTGGGGCTGCAGCCCTGGTGAGCTTATCTTCTTTTGGGCCATCTCCAAGACTCATGGCCCTTGGCACATTGGGCCTCATACATTCTGGGGAAGACACTATCCCAAGTTGCCTGGGTCTGAAGCATTTTCTGAGACACAGGACTTTCAGTGCTAGGAAAGGGAAAATACTGGGTTCACGAGGAGCTTATCACCCTCTATGGAAAAAAGTTGTAGTTCTCAGTCAAGGGACATTTGGCAATCAGCCAGAGACTTTAGTTGTCAAAGCCTGGATTGGGGGTGCTAGTGGTTATCTTATGGATGAGGTGGAGGATGGTGCTAGGCATCCAACAATACACAGGACACCCCTACAACAAAAACGTGTCTTGCCCAGTGCCATCTGTGCCAAGGTTGAGAGATCTTGTCTCAAAAGGCCCATACTCTTGCCCTTTTAGAGGCCAGTGCAGTGCCAGGCACACAACAGTCCAAATGTGAGAGATGGCATCTGTGTGGGTAGAGGGCCAAGGAAAGATTGACCCCAGTGGGCAAGATTCCTGGCCGTTGCAGGGCTGAGAACACTGCCAAGTGTCATTAAGTGCCGCGGGTACTTTGTGACCCTCAGTGTCAGCTGGGAACAACATGGATGACATTTGTGGAGAGCTCCTGTTGCGGCTGCACCAGCAGTACCCAGGGGACGTTGGCTGCTTTGCCATCTACTTTCTGAACCTGCTCACCCTGAAGCCGGGGGAAGCCATGTTTCTGGAAGCCAATGTGCCCCATGCCTACCTGGAGGGAGGTGAGTCCCTTGCCCTTGCCCCATGGGCTTTGTCTGTCTGCCTGGACAAAAGAGGACAGGGTGGTCAGGGAGGTCTCCACCCAGCTCACCCAAGGGTGCCCAGGCACAGCAGTGAATGACTAGTAGGAATGAAAGCCAGACTGGCGGTGGATACTGCTTGGAATCTCCCATAGCCTTAGGCCTGACAGTGAGCATGGGACCCTAGGCTGCCTTGTGTCACCCCTGCCCCACACCTGTCCTATGGACCTGGGGATTTTCACATTAAATATGTGTTGCCACAGAGCATGTCACATTGTGACTGCTAGCTTATTCGCTCCCATGTAGGACTCTGCCACTGAAGTTGGAGATGAGTCACAGGTCTAGGGCCCCTAGGGGTTAATGTGACTCCCTCTGGCCGTAGCAGGTAGCCTGTCATTTTCTTTTGGTGTCTGATATCTTAGTGCCGTCCTTGTGGAAAATGCTCTTCACACAGTTTCCCTAACCCTACAGGAGGTCATGGAGCTCAGGTTAGGGGCCCATGCCTGGAGCATCGGATTCTTGGGGCATCAGCTTAACACGCAACCACTATCTGTCCTCAGATTGTGTGGAGTGCATGGCGTGTTCAGACAACACAGTACGTGCAGGCCTGACGCCCAAGTTCATTGATGTGCCAACCCTGTGTGACATGCTCAACTACACCCCCACTCCTAGCAAGGACAGGCTCTTCCCCCCATTGCAGAGTCAGGAAGACCCCTATCTCTCCATCTATGACCCCCCTGTGCCAGACTTCACTGTGATGAAGATGGAGGTGAGGGGGTAGGGGTTGTGGTGGGTGTCCTTGGTGCGTGACCAATCTGGGCAGGGGTCACGGTGCAGTATATACCTGGGGCTGGGTGTCCTTTTTGTCAGGCTCACCTGGCTGGGGGCAGCTGTAGGGCCTATCCAGTCTGTACCAGGGACAGATGTGGCCTCCATGCTGACAAGAACCTGAACTGTGTGGGGGAGGTGGCAGGGCTGGTGTCCCTGGCTGCCCTCAAGGTCGTCCTGAGTCTGGAGCCAAGTCTGGGCTGCACTGTTCAATTTTTCTTTCTGTGCAGGTCCCCAGCTCCGTCACTGAATATAAGGTCTTAGTGCTGGACTCTGCCAGCATCCTTCTGGTGGTGAAGGGGACAACGACAGCCAGCTCACCCATGACCCAAGCAGCCATCCCCCTACAGTGTGGTGGGGTGCTCTTTATTGGGGCCAATGCAAGTGTCACACTGAAGCATACTGCACCCCAGGACCTGGTCCTATTCCGGGCCTGCTGTCTCCTGTAGCAGCCACAGTCTCCCCAGCCATCCCCTGCTGGTCACTGGTCTAAGCCTCTTCCTGCTGTACAGTCTAGGTACATGAAAACAGGGAAGTGAGGTTGCAGGTTGTGACTCCAGGGCACTCCCAACCTGAGCCATCTTTGGGACAAGGCTGACATTCTTCTCATTAGCCCTCACCACACCAAAGCCTGGCACTGTCAAGGAGGTCATAGCTTTGTACTGCACACAACATCAGGCTATCTGGTGACACCAGTGGTCCTGACTTAGCTCAGTACTCAACAGAGCTACAACGAGCAGCATTCTCGCCTGGGGGTGTTGTCCCCAGCTTCAGAGGATGACAGGGTAAGGGCCTGAGGACTTGTGCTACTGGTGCCCTCCTGAGCTGTCTAGGCAATTAAAGCTTGCTGTGTTGAGACTGTGAGCAGAGCATTCTCCTGTGTTCGGTCCCTGCAGTGGGCTGGAGGAATCCTCCCTGGATGGGGCCCAGGCTTTCCTTTATTCCTGCTCAGTCAGCTTCTGGGGGTGGCTGGCCCAGCTCCAGAACCTGTAATAGAAGGAGTAGGCGAGGAAGCCAGCCTCAGCCTCAGCTGCACACTTGCAGGCAGGCCTCAGGTCCTGCAGAGAGGGAGGTTGAGGGGTGACCAGTCAGCAGTACAAGACCCTACTCCTGCAGCACTGGTCAGCATTCGAGGGCTGGCAGGCCAAGTCTAGCTGTGCACACTTGTTTTCATCTGGGATGAGATGATAAAGCCAAGTTCTTTACCAGACTACATGGCCTGCAAAGATGGACGTGTATCCATGCTAAGCAAGCACTCTGCCACTGAGCTGAAACTACTGGCCATCAGGCCTTCCATAAAAACTTGACAGATTCAGTCATTGCTGACTACAGGGCCTTGGGAAAAGAATCATTCAGTGATTCCCCCAGGGCTGGAACCCTACAAGAGGCTGCTCCCTTCTGTGACCTCATGGAGATCTCTGGCCTGTAGCATTGATCCTGTCACAGCAAACTAAGCAAAGCCTAGCCACTGGATCCCTCTCCCTGCAGGATAAGGGTGTAGATTCAGGAAGCTCCTGCCTACACTAGAACTCCCAGAGTTCCAGGAAACCACCTTAAAAAAGTTTTTGGTAGCCAGGTGTGGATCCCTGCATACTAGGAGGCTGAAGCAGGGAGATCACAAGTTTGAACCCAGCCTGGACAATTTAGCAAGACCCTATCCCAGAGTAAAAAAAAAAAAGGGCTGGTGATGCAGCTCAGAATTAAAGTCCTGGGTTCAATCCCTAGTTTTTATTTTTGCCTCCAAAATTTCTTTGGTTTAGGGGGGAAAACAACAAATGAAAAGAAAGGGTCTGCTAGAAGAAACCCATTCTGAAGGCAAATTATCTGCAAAGCCACTCAGCCTCCAGTGAGAGAAGGGGAACAGTAGAGAAGCAGAAGGAGCTCCAGGAGGGGCCACATAGTTGGCCCAAGCTATGTCTTCATTTCAGGGTATCCAGACCTTAAAAATCCCTTTGTGACAAAGACACAGCTCAGCTAGCATGGGTGTGTTTATTCTGAACAGCGTACAGAATACAGAAGTACAAGCTGAGGTCTGTCAAGAACTGTGTGAACACCAGGTGGAACCACACCTGCCTGAGGGAGGCCCAGGCTTCCCTCCCCCAGGAGACTGTCACCCGCAGAGCATCCCTCACTCTGAATTAAGGCAGTATGGCTCTGGGCACATTGGTACCTTAATTGGTGGTATTTGGTCTGTGGCCCCACAAGGCGCTCCTGCAGCCCTCTCCAGCTTGAACATCCCTCCAGGAGCTGTTCCAGCAACCAGGGTTGACTGCAGCAATGACCACCTACAGGGTGTGGCTTGGGTTCCCAAGTGCTCAGGCTACTCCATTCTAACCAGGACCCCTCAAACATGGCCCTACATATGGCTTCCATGTTCCCCTCTAGCCTCAGTGTCCCCACCCCCTAGCCTCTACATTGAACTGTCTGCCCCTTTCAATGTGCACTCTTCCCTCTACAGAAACCAAGAGGCCTGCACATGGACTCTGTGCTGGGGACAGCTCAGAATGTGAGGTGTGAGGTGCCTGGGTGGTTACAGAATCTCACTGCAGACCAGAGCAGCCACTACCTCCCCTATCCCAGCCCCAAGTTGATAGGACTTGGTTCTCTGTCCATCTCCATCCTGCAATGCTGCCAGCAACAGAACAATCAGCCAGGCTCATGATGCTGTGCGCTCCTCAACCTCCCAGTCTCACAAAAACAGAAGCTACCAAGCTGGGCGTGGTGGCGCACACCTGTAATCCCAGCACTCAGGAGGCTGAGGCAGGAGGATCACTGTGAGCTCAAAACCAGCCTGGGCTGCATAGTGAGTTCCAGGTCAGTCTCAACTACATAGTGAGACCCTATCTCAAAAAAACAAAACAAAACAAAAAGCCAGAAGCTACCAAGTCCTGCTAGGATGGCCTTCCCAAGGACAGTGTTTGACAAGGAACACAGTGGGCTTTCTCTTCCTACCCATCTCTTCTGGTGGAGCCAAGAGTCTCTACCATCCCTCAGTGGTCACAGAACATGGGGGGGAGGCAAGAGACTGGATGCTCCACACTCTCACCCTACATGCACCCACTTTCCAACCACACCACACCTGAGGGAGGCAAAGGGGGTGGATTGTAGGGAGGCTTGGGATAGCAAGAGAAATTCTCCAGCTTGGTCACAGCACTCATGACTGTCAGCAGCATTCACCCCAAGGCTTCCAGTCCATGTGGATTTTCCCAGGGCCTCACACATGAGGCAAGCACTGGTAGAGGCACAGAAGGGTCCGACCATAGGGTGGCCCTGGCTGAAGAACAGCTCTGCACTGACCACTGGGACTACTGCTCCTGGCAGCTGGCTTAGGGTCTCTCCTTCCCTTTCTGCCTGATCGCTTCAGTCTCTATCCAAGCCACACCACACACCAGTACACCAAGGGGACCCACTGCTGTGTCAGAATGTACAAGGCTGAGCAAAAAGGCATGAGACTGCCCTTGCAATAGCTGTGTCTACTGGGAGTCACAAAAACTGCAGGTACCTGGGGCCAGCCCCATTACCTCTAACCCAACCTCAGTTCAAGATGGGTGGAGAAGCCAGCCAAGAACAGGGAAATACAAATAAATAAATGTCTAGGATGAAGCAGTTTTCCTCTAAGGAGGGGCCAACCAAGTTAACCCACCGGACAGCTGTCCCAGGTCCAGGGATTCTGGAAGCCACGATCCTGTTAGCAACCCGCTACACTGTCTGCCACAGCCAGACAGGTATTAACTTGAAGGGGGACAGAGGGACCTGCTTTGAAGGTCACACCTGTGAACCTAAGAGACAGGAAGAGCATAGGACAGCATATGGAATTTCCTGAGCTGTCCCAGTTAAATTCCTTTTCAGAGTCCCAACTGCAAACTATGAAGTGCTATCTTCTGCCTCCCACAGCACTGCCAACACAGCTCAGACACAAAAGCTGTCCCTTCCCTTGAGAATCATGGCAAACACCAGTCTATACATTTGCAAGTATGCTTCTCGGCCACCTCCATCAGTCACCATGTGAACCCTAATTCCTCTGCTCCTGCCCTTACTAAAGCAGCTTTCCAAACTGCACTGACAATGGAGGAAACTGCAGAATTCCACTCATCAAGCCCATGGCCCAGATGGGCCTCTGGCCCAAGAAGCACTGGATGAGGGCTCCCTATAGACCCTGACCGCAGAGGGCCGGTACCTCCAGTGATTCTGGGCTGACAGCGTCCCCAATGTGTTCTGAGCATAAAGGCCAGCAGGTTGTATCTGTCACATGGTGAGCAGGGCCTGTGCGGGAGGCTTCTGTCTACTGTAGGGTACAATAAGAGTCCCCAGGACAGCACCAGCAGCAAGTGCACGTGGAGGAGGCCATAGGCTTAGGTGGAATGAGGTCCAGGTCCTCATCATCTGGAATCTCATCCAGGTGGTAGCCATCCTGTAGCAGCTGCCGGTTCACATCCTGGTTCACCTGCTAAAAGAGGGCAAGGTGGGAACTGTAAGCCAAGATGCCAAGCAGTGATAGCTGCTGCCCACATTCCCATGCCAGAGCTTCTCCATGATCCGCCCCAGGCCCACCCTGCATGTCCCAGGACAACAGGAAGCACAACTTTCTCCAAATTGTGCCTTAACTAATTCCCTCCAGGCTTCACATCAGAGACCCCTAGGGGACTACTATCACTGAAGAATCCTGACGAATCTGATACCAATTTCAAATTCTACATCATTTGATATTCATTTCCCTGACCCTTCCCACAGGAACCCAGATGTCCTTGTCAAGGCTGAACAATATGAGACAATGACAATAGAACAATGGGCTAGAGTAGTAGAGGAATATGGCGTACAGTGGGAGGAGGCAGGAAGCAGCTTTGTCTACACTGCCTGTTAGACCTGTCATTTTTCCTGGCCCTGGCCCACAGAGCTGGGCCCCTGCAATATGGAACCAGTCAGCCTGGTCTCACCAGTTCCACTGGACAGACAAAATTAAATGAGGCTAGAAAGTGAAAGACTTCCTTTGGTTCTTAGATAAGTTTACTTTTAACAATCTTAGCCTCTCAGACATTCAAGGAGAACACAAGTGTCCAGACTGCCTAGTTTTTCTTTTTCTTTTTTTTTGGTACTGGAGATTGAACCCAGGCCCTTGTGCGTGTGAAACAGGCACCGGAACCACTGAGCTAAATCCCCGGCTTGCCTAGTTTTTCTTTCATAGAAAATCAAGAGATTACCCAAAGGTTTCCTAGAGAATAGGAAATGCTGGTCATGCAGTTATATTCCCCAGCATTCACCTCTGTCAAAGGAAGCAAGCTGCACATGCCAGAACTTTTAAGAGGTGGGGTCTGTGTTGCCCAGGCTGGCCATGAGCTCCTGGGCTCAAGCAATCGTACCTCAGCCTCCCAAGGAGCTGGGACAACAGGCACATGCCACCGTGCCTGGTGGAGAGCCTGGGTTCTGTCTGGGACAATTACTTCTAAAAAATGCCTGCAAGGCAGAGGCATGTCTCATCTGAGTTCCCACAGATGGAAGAACAGAAGGAACTGAAGTTGTTCGGCATGGAAGAAAGCGAGCTTGGTGGAAGATGTGTGGAAACACATCAGAAACACATCAAACTCAGATAAAGGAGTCAGTCAAAAGGAAGACTAGAGGAGGATCTCAAGTTCAAGGCCAGCTTGGGCACCTTAACAAGACCCTGTCTTAAAGTGGGAGAACAATTGTCTAGCATGCATGATGCCCTGAGTTCAATCCCCAATACTGCAAAGGTGGGATGCGTAGTTGCTGTGTGACAGTAAAAGGCCTAGAACCAGTGGGTCCAGGCTTCAAGAAACCTTTTAGATTAACAAAGCTACTGAAGAAGGGTTTGTGTGCGTGTGTGTGTGCTGGAAGGGCAACAAGCAATGCTTCTTAGATAGTAAATACATAATTATAACATGCATTCAAGCAAGCAGAGGCTAGTCAATCCTTTCCTAAGCTGGGATCTATCAAGAGGAATCATCTCCAACCCTGCGGATGTATGGTTTCCTGGTTGCCAACAGGCCTCCTAAGAAGCCTATAACTCTGTGGGGGAAGAGGGCAAAGTGGAAGAGCAGAAAATAGACCAGAAGTCTGGTACAGTGCTGTGCACACAGCAGGCACCACACCCACATTTGCTGGTAGTGGTGAGGCTGCCCACAGTGTGGCCCCGTGCAGAAGGGCGCTCTGGACTTGCCTCGGCAGAGGAGTACCCGGAGGAGTATCTGGATTCCTGCTCCCCATCACTAGGAGAAGAGGAACATGGTCAGATCAGGGGAGGCCTGCAGAGCACAGCAGCGGACAGTGAGGTGGAGAGCGTGCAAGGGGGTCTGTTTGATTTGAAGGCAACTACACACCAGAGCACTCAACACAGAACCAGTGCAAATGCTGCCTCAGTGGGCTCCAGCAGGAACAGGGTCACTCTCACTAATGGTGCAGACCTAACAGGTCACGGTGGTTCCCCTGGGACACCCGGGTGCTCAGACCCTAGAGCACTGTGACTACCCAGCCATCCCGGGAAGGGCCAGCCTCGGGTATGCACAGGGCCTTGGAGGTAGTACAGAAGCAAAAAAAAGCAGGAGGTTGCTGCAATACTCTGCCAGGGGGCTCGCTCACCTGTCAGAGTCGAGGGACACGAGGTTCTCATCTGGACTCTGGCTCAGAGCAGTGTAGCCCTTGTTAAACTTCACTGACCTGAGGGACAGGGAGAAGAGACTAAGCACAGATGAAAGCCCAGGCACTGTGCAGGGAAAGCAAGAGTCCTCGTCCTTATGTAGAAGGAAAACTACACACTCCTGGTAGCGCTGCCATCTACCTGGACACCTCCAGCTGCCTGCAGCTCCAGCACCTGGCTAAGCATCTCAGAGTACACAGGCCCCACTCCATGCCCCCCAGAGCTCATGGGAAAAAGCCCGCCAGGCCTTTCAGGAGCCAGAAAAAGCACCCCCACACATTATTTAACCAGGGAACCAAATCTCTTCGCCTCTGCGGGTTTCAGCTCTCAGCTGCAAAAGGGAAGCACTGGATGAGATCCTACCCAGCTCTGACAGCTGTACCAGAACACAGTACTGACCTTTACCACTGGGCTAGCCATTCCCTCCTGGGGCGTGCAGCCACCAGGCTCCTCACATACTCCAGGACCCTTGCATTGCCTGAGTCCCTTGTTCCAAAGCCCCTTCCTGGGGACTGTCACTGCCTTTAGGGGAGAGAGGAAGTTGCTCCTCTTCCATTTTCCAGAGAGTGAACCCGCCAGCTCGATCAGAGGAGCCCCGGATGCAGCCGTGACCCCCCCCCCCGCCAGAAGCTGAAGACAGCCTTCGGAGATGCGGCCGGCCCGGGGAGGTGTCGCAGCAGAGACCTTCTCCCAGTAGAGTCGGGGCGGCTCGGCAGGGCGCCCAGCACACCTTTCCTCCGCAGCACGGCCTTGGCCAAGTCCCGGTGCTTCTCTGGAAAGCAAAGGGCCGAGTCAGCCGCGTCTCCTTGTCCCCCT